ATCACAATTCTTTTATCCAATTGTCTATTCTAGTGCTTGGGGGGGGGGTAGCTTTGAATAAGACAGATAAGATTCCTGCTGTCATGGAACAAACATTATGGGAGATGCATAAATATGATCAAGAATTTTTTTTAATATATTTTATTGATTTTTTTACAGAGAGGAAGGGAGAAGAATAGAGAGTTAAAAACATCCATGAGAGAGAAACATCGATCAGTTGCCTCCTGCACACCTCCCTACTGGGGATGTGCCCGCAACCAAGGTACATGCCCTTGACCGGAATCGAACCTGGGACCTTTCAGTCCGCAGGCCGACACTCTATCCACTGAGCCAAACCGGTTAGGGCAAGAATGTTGACATTTCATATACTTTGGCAAATAGTGAGGAAGGAATAGTAGCAAAAATTCTGGACACAGGATCAGGACCTAAAAAAGATCATGAAAGGATAGCATTGTTTCACTAGAATAAGATGACATTAAATGGGGTAAATGTTAAGGGTTGACTTTGTGTTTCAATGGTAGTAAACAGAGAGTAGGGGCTGTAGCTTAGTCATGGTTCATGTGAAAAGACATAAGAGTTAGCTTGATAGAAAATTACTATGAATTGACAGTTTGAAATGTCTGCCAAGTTTCCCTGGCCCATCCTTAATTCAGATAAATAAGGTGGAGGTCAATGTTTCCAGGGTTGTAGTCTTGGGCATTTCCAAGACCAACTTTATTAGGTTTGATGATTTGCCAGGACTCACAAAACTGAAAAAAAAAAAAAAAAGCTGTTATGTTTGTGGTTATGGGTGTGTTTGTTTTTATAGTAAAAGGATCGAGATTAGTATCAGTAGAGTCCAGGAGAAAACAGGTACAGGCTTCTAGGTTTCCTCTCCCAATGAAGTCGTTCAGATGATGCTTAGTTCTCCCAGCAATGATATGTGATGAAGCTTCCCTGAGCCTTGATGTCTGGGGTTGTTATTGGAGGTCAGTCACTCGGACACAGAGTGCCTGCTTGACTGACCTTAGTTACTCAGTCTCCAGTCTAGCCTCTCCAGAGGTCAAGCTGATGTTACATGACCCAAGCCCCCAGTTACACAAAAAACACATTCCTCAAGGATATTCCGAGGGCTTAGAAGTTATGTCCCTGGTACACCCAGGGCCAGCCTTTATTTTTATTTTTTTGAATAATCATGGTTTGAACACTCCAAGCCTGGTCAATTAACCCTTTATTACATGTTAATTCAACAACATAATATTATCATCAAGGAGCTAAGGCCATCTTTCCATTCTGTCATCCTTAGCATGTCTGTGATGGGTCAACTCATGGTTGCAAGTGGCTAAAGCAATTTCAAGCATCATATGGAGACAATAACTATAACTTCTGGGGAAGATGGTGTCTCCTTTTATTAAAAACTAACAAACAAGAAAAAAAAAAACTTTTCCTGAAGCCCTAAGGAAAATTCTCTTTTAGACTTCATTGACCAGTACTGGGTTATAGGACCATTTCTGAATCATCATTGAGAAGTGGCTGGAAGTGCTACAATTGGCTCAGGCTAATCATGACCCACCCCCATGAACTGGGAGAAGTGTCATATTTACAGATTGTATTAAAGGGTAAATCCCTAAACACAATTAAGGGTCTTGCAGTTAGGTAGAAAGGGAAGAATGGGATGATCATTGGGATCCAAGAGTATTTGTCATAATCAATCCATGTTCTTCCAAGGAATCAAAATTGAATAGATGAAAGCTATAGGAATGCTAATCTCAAGTATAACTAAAAACACTATTTTACACAGTATTTGTATGTATTCCTAAGGTAACACCTCTATGTTGCATTCCAATGATTTCTTTATGAACCTGTTTCACAGTGTTTTGAACTCCTCAAAGATAGGCACAAGTTGTATTTATTTCTAAGCCTGAAATTTAACATACAGTAAACATTCAATAAATCTTTCATGAGAACATAAAGGAATGGAGTAGTTCAAACAATAAAGAGTGACATTCTGGTAGTTGATGAATTCTTCATCATTCACTCATTAATAACTCTTCAAGATAGAAGCCAAGTATTAAATGGGTGCTGAAATCAAACAAACTTTACATACTCTTTCAATTGTGGGTATTTTAAAAATGAAATTGCTATATCCTGAAAACTAATTAGTTTCTAGGGGTAATAATGTACATCCTCTTCTTATAAATATATTAACAAAACCATATGCTTAAAGTACATTTTATTCAATTTTTATCTTATAGTGACCCTGTGAGAACAGGTAATAATAATTTCCATATTACAGATAAGGAGGGTGAGGTAAGGAGGAGAGTCTAAGGAACTTCATGAGTCACAGAATGTAGTAAAGTGGTGGTTCTGGGAATATAACCAAGATAACCTGACTCCAGAGTTCATGTTCTTAACCACTACACTTCACAGTATTGATCACTCTTTCCCCAAACTAACAAGACATACTTCCTGAAATCTTGCAAGTCTTATCTCTACTGTTAATAGATAAGTATTTAAAACATAATCTTTCAAAAGTTTCCTCCACTTAACTGAAGACTAACTCAGACTATTATTCTGCAAGATGTACAGCATTGTGTAGAACAAACTCAAAACACCTCTGCTTCCAACGACCAGATGTGCTTATCAATTTGTTCCCAGACCTGTTCATACCAATTTTATTTACTATTGTAGCTATGTAATTTAAATAAAATTGCTTAAAATGATAAAGGATGAGTATGAAAAGAGAGAAAGTTAACTTTTAAAATGGTGAAAATTAAGATTAAAAAAAACAACAACCTGTGTGAGTTGTCCCAAAACAGTGCTGTTGAATTAGTTGCATCTGAGACTGGTAAAACATGAGGGAAGGAGGAAAGGGAAATATAAAAACCGGGAAAGATTCTATATTCAGGTCGCTTTGTAAATATATGTTCCAACCACAATGGAAATCATAAATGATATAGTATGGATGTTGTTTACACAAAAATAAAAGCATCTATAAATTCATATTTATAGAGAAGGGCTTGGCACTACATCAAAAACTGGCAGAAGCTTCTATAATTTTTATTTGTGATTCAAGATCATTTTAAGTTATTTATGTTACTATCTTTAAAACAAATAGCCATTACTAAATCCAATAGTTGGTAGTAAAGGTACTTCTGGTCTAGAGATGTTTGTACTTCCATTCCAGAGACATTTGTATTTCAATCAGAATTTAAAGCAGGGGTCCTCAAACTACGGCCCGTGGACCACATGCGGCCCGCCGAAAACATTTGTTTTTTTACTTCAAAATAAGATATGTGTAGTGTGCATAGGAATTTGTTCATAGTTGTTTTTTTTAAACTATAGTCCGGCCCTCCAATGGTCTGAGGGACAGTGAACTGGCCCCCTGTTTAAAAAGTTTGAGGACCCCTGATTTAAAGAGACAGAAATGCAAGGAATTTCTCATAGAATTTTAATCCTTGAGAAAAGGAATGAGATAAATGTAGGCTTTGGAGCTTTGTGTCATACTGAAGCACAAAGAAAAGTGGTCATCCCTTGTAGGTGGCCAACCCTGGCTATCTGAGTCCAGGAAACTGGTGCTGAGTTGTGATCAGCACAGTTGGTGCTGGCAACTAGAGGTTAGAAGCAGATTTTTGGACAGACAGCTTACTATATCAAAATGACATCCTTTCCTATGTTTTTCTTCTGGATTCAATCTTTTAAACTGAAAATAACACAGTTTATTTTGTGTATATTTTAATAAAAACAATTTCTTATTAAAATATATACAAATGTAATATTCACAAATAAATATGCTCTCAAGAATTAGTACACAAATATTGATTGGTTACTGGGGATTGAAAAAACGAAAGTTCTTACTTCAAGGTGCTCACAGATAAGTAGAGATCAACTCATGTTGAAATAATAGTGCATTTTAACACAGAAAAATTTGAACACAAATCTTTTGTAGTTCATTTCCCTTTTTTCAGTTAAATGCAAGTAAAAGCATAGTCCTCTCTTTGTAAATTCTATTATTAAACAAATTATCTATAAAACAAATTAGCATAGAGATATGTGAAGTATTTTCTCCAAGATTTAGCAGTGGTCATGAGAGATGCTTGCATCATTAAGAAATAAGCATGTATTATCAAAAATCATGCAAGAATAGTACCTATAATAAAAGTGCAATATGCTAATTAGACCGGACAGCCGAACAACCTTTCGGCTGTCCTTCCAGACGACCTTCTGGACGAAGCTGGGGTTGCGAGGGCCAAGCCCTTTGCACGAATTTCAAGCATCGGGTCTCTAGTCTACATATAAAAGCCTAAGTGACTGTTCAGCCGTTTGACCAGTAACTATGACATGCACTGACCACCAGGGGGCAGACACTCAACACACAGGTATGGAAACATGGAACAGACTGATGAATCTCAGAGGGAAGGGGGAGGGATAGGGGGAGGGTGGGGAGAGATTAACCAAAGTTCTTATATGCATACTAGAGGCCCAGGTGCACCGGTGGGGTCCCTAAGCCTGGCCCGGGGATCTGGCCAAAACCGGCAGTCCGGCATCCCCCAAGGGGTCCTGGATTGGGAGAGGGTACAGGCCAGTTCAAGGGACCCCACGGGTGCACCCACTGGGCCTCTAGTGTTTAATAGTACGTTCCAAGCCCGAGAACTAAAACAGAAAAGAAGGATGTGCCCTACAGAAATGAAACCAGTAAAGTTAGCCAAGTGCTAGAAGCTTCTGTGCAGAATGTTCCTTTATGATTTCTAGCAAGAAGCTTGTCCGGATGGGAGAAGTAACATAGGCGGCCAGATCTCCTGCTTCATGGTTCCATTCCCACGCGCCAGACCCGCGGAAGATGTGTAGGCGCAGGGGTTCTGCCTCTCAGCTACCCAGGCTTCAGGTCACTAGAAACTAAGTTGGAGAAGTGATCTGATTGGCTAAGAAACAGGTGACGCACATTCCTCAAGCCCAATGAGAGCCGGCCCCCCTACGACAGACTCAGATCCTGCTTTCCGATTGGTCCTTAGTTGCGGAAACCCACCTCCGGCCGGAACCCGGGCAAAGATGGCGGCGGCCAGGTGGTGGCGGCTGGTACCCCGCGGTCCCGGGCGGTCAGTGCACTCCGCGGCCCAGGCCGCCGTGGGGACCCCGGACATCCCCGGCGCAGAGGGCGCGGCGGCCCCTGTGGCCCGCTACCCGCCCATCGTGGCCTCCATGACGGCCGACAGCAAGGCGGCCCGGCAGCGGCGAGTGGAGCGCTGGCAGGCGGCGGTGCACGCGGCCCGGACGGCGGACGAGAAGATCCGCATCCTCACCAAGATGCAGTTCAAGAAGTACGTGGTTTACCCGCAGACCTTCGCGCTCAACGCCGACCGCTGGTACCAGGGCTTCACCAAAACCGTGTTCCTGTCGGGCCTCCCGCCGCCCGCCGAGCCCGGGTCCCCGCCCTCCGAGTCGGGGTCCCCGCCGGCCGAGCCCGCGCCCCCGCCCGTCCCGGACCTGGCGACCCTGCGCGCAGCCGCGTGCGACTGCCTCCTGCAGGAGCACTTCTACCTGCGGCGCCAGGGGCGCGCGCCCCTCTACCAGCAGGTGGAGGCCGTCGCCTCGCCCTTCCTGGACCAGCTGGTGGCCGCCCTCATGGGCCTGCTCAGCGAGCACAACCCGGCCCTGGCCACCGCCGCCCTCGGTGAGCCCGGGCCTGCCACGCGGGGCGGGGGGCGGGCGATGTCAGGGCCCACGCCGCCTCCGATGTGCCCCCTCTTCATTCCTCTGTCCGTTTTCCCGGTCCTTGGACTCCCAGCTGGGGACAGCGCGGTGCGGCAGCGGTCACTGCGCTGGGAACCTGCAGACTGGGCGCTGCCACCTGATGGTCCAGCCCTGGGCTGGGCGCCCGGGTTCCGCGGGACTCGTGCTTGCTGGGCCGGGTGAGGGTCCCGCCTGGTGACCGGCCCACCCAGTGGGAGAGCTGTGCTGGCTCAGCCAAGGGGTTCCTTTCCGCTCGCCCACCAAAACGTTACCTGATCATATGTCAATGTAGGCACCACTTTTAGCGTTCACCTTTCTCGTTTTCAAAATGAGATTTAGGGCCAGAGTACTTTGTCCTGGGATTGAACAGACGAAAGGCAGTATTGGTTGAAATGCCTAACATGTACGTTCACTCAGTACTTAATTGTGTGCCTGGCCCTGTTCTGCATGGGATATGTGCCAACTAATTCATCCTCACAATGACTGTGTACAGTAGGTAGCATGGTGTTATAAATCAGAGCTAAAGCAGGCGCAGGGATGTAAAATGTGTCCACTCAGAAGAGCCTATGGCTGATTTGGTGGTCAGGAGTCAAACCCAGCCCTTCTGGGTTTCCAGTGAACAGTCAGCAGCTTCTCCGTGCAGACATGAGAAGCAGTTAACGGGGAGACAGTTTTAAAAATTAGTGTTTCTGACGTGTCCCTCGTTTTGTGCCTACCACACAGTAGGCATCGTAGTGAATGTTGATTGAGCTGATGCTATCCCTGGAGGTGTGTGCTCCCTGAATCTTGTAAAGTGCCTTACCTCCCCTCTCAGCGGGGAAGGGAGTGGTGTTGGGGGCTTCATGGACTTGGACTCCTGACTGATGGCCTAGGAAAACTTAACCTCAAGACTCAGGGTCCTTTTCTGTAACACTGATGATAACAGCTGTGCATACCTGTCAGCGTTACCGTGACGATTGAATTAGCCATTCACAAGACAGCTCTGACTCCTGTTAAGCTTTCTGATGTGTTTACTCCTGTTCTTGTAATTGAGGAAACGCTTCAGTTACAGTGTTTAGTGCAGTGATGGCACAAGTAGACAACACTTAGTTGAGCCTTATAGTTAAGTCATGATCATTTAAGTTAAATTACCACATAATCCAGACTGTCTTATAGAGTCATTTTGATGTGTGTGTTTTTAATTAGCACACTTATTTTTGAGTTCTGTATTGCTGAGTTTAGTATTCTAATAATAACCAAATGTATCTAAGTGGTAAGAAAGTTTTGAATATCTTTTGGTAGATTGTAAACGCCCGGTTCACTTTTACTGGTGTCGTGGTGAAGAAATCATTGTTCATGGTCATCGGAAAGGTCGCGTTGATGCTGTGAGATACCAAATAAATGATACACCACACAACCAGATTCGAATGTCCAAACAGCTGCCAGAGGTGAGGATTTACTGCATGTGTACCTGTTGCTGTCGGATGTGGAAATGTCATAGGCAGGCTAGGTAAAGGGCGTGGTAGGGTAAAAAGGTTTGGATGGATCCTACGCCTTTTCAGATTCACTCAAATGCATCTCTGAAATTCTTTTTCAGCTTTTTAACCTGCTGTAGTATATGTATTCCCCAAAGGACAGATAATCATTTTAAGTGAGGTTAAGGCATCAGTGTTCAGGAACATACAAGTCTTTATTTTTTTCTTAATATAAAAATATGAAAAATGGATAATAGTTTATGATTATAATTTACAGTACCTCCACTACCTAATCACAAATCAAGGCATTTATTACCGTTATAAACATCATTTTATGTACTTACAGTTCTTTTGGAGAAAATAAGCATATTTTAGTGTTGTCTATGTGTTCATATCAGGTTGGTACATATTTCCTTTAAAAATACAGATAGTAAATATTTTAGGCTTTGGGGGCCATAAGTCTCAGTTAGAACTGTTCATCTCTTCTTATAGCCATGCACCATATGAAAATGAGTGTACATGGCTGTGTTCCGATAAAACTTTATTTGTAAGAACAGGTGGCTGGTTGGATTTGGCCCATCATTTTGCAAATCATCTCATTTTAAGATTTTAAGTCTATAATGAATATGAGTAAAATATACTCGTGTTGCTGTGAATCACTTATGACTTTTCTCTTTTAAGTTTGTGCCGCTGGATTATTCTGTACCTATAGAAATTCCTGTTATGAATTGTAAGCCAGACAAACTTCCATTATTCAAACGACAATATGAAAATGCCATATTTATTGGTAAGTTTCTCTTCTGATGTATTGTGCCATAAATGTGTCCTAGGTGTTTTGTACAAATTTGCATAATTCTTGATGACCCAAGGTTTAGATAGTCTATCAACAATGTAATTCATAGTCTCAGGTTCTTGCAATATGCCTGAAAATTGGGAAGAAAATATTCTTTCAGCTCACCATTTAAAATTTTACTTGTTTCCACTGAATTAGCAATATTTAACTTTAAAATATAGTGATAATTATAGGGTTTTGTTGATGTATTTATAGGAAAAGTAATTTGTGTTTTGTTTTGTTTTTTTTTTCAAAAGTAAAAAGTGTAGAACTGGGCTTGAGGCAGTGAATGGCTTTTTTACAAAAGTCTGCTGTTTGTTTTACAGTGTGAAAACCACCAGGAACATAAAAATTAATAAGGTCTGACATCTGCCCTTATGCAGTTTTTTTTTTTTTTTTTGCTGGTTTTTTTCCTGCGGAACATTTTAAGAAAGCTGCTTAAACTGATCCTCCAGACCTATTATATCAGCCCCTTCTCTGTCACTAAGTCTTAGAGAGTGAATAAGGGGGACTTTTGACTTTACCACTAAAGTCAAGAATGTCAACATTTTATAAAATATTGGTAAAGGGCATGGTAGGGTAAAAAGGTTTTCTTTATTTAAAATGTAGTATAAGAACCAATTATATTTTTAAAATTAGGAACAAGCTATGTAATTTTTATATTAAAATAATAAAGTAAGTTTTTGCCCTGGCCAGGGGGCTCAGTTGGTTGTAGTGTCATTCGGGACATGAAAAGGTTGCAGGTTCCGTTCCCAGACAGGGGACATACCGGGATTTCAGGTTTGATCTCTGGTCAGGGAAGGTGTGGGAGGCAGCCCATCGATGGTTTTCTCTCACATTGATGTTTCTCTCTCTCCCCTTTTCCTCTTTCTAAAAATCAATGGGAAAAAAAAATATCCTCAGGTGAGGCTTAGAACGTAATAATAAAATAAAATTAAATAAAGTAAGTTTTTAAAGTCATGAAGTATTTATCTCCTTTTCTGAATATAAGAACAATGATGAAGCTCCTTAGTTATGACTAATGTGTTTGAAAAACCGAAATAATAAGAATTTTTAATCCATTTTATATATAATTTTTTTACTTATCCTATTTATAGTGAGTGACTTGGTGACAGCTAGCAGACTACTTCCGTGTGAAATGTAACTTTATTACAATAAATACATAAACTAACCTTCCCACGTGTGTGTGTTGAATACTGATCACGTGATGGGTAGAGGAGGGGTGGGTTTAGAGAAATACTGAGCACATGTGCTCCAGGTGTTCTACATGTCATTTCATGTCACATGTTTCTCTTTTGCTCTTCAGGCTCAAAGACGGCAGATCCGTACTGTTATGGTCATACCCAGTTTCACCTGTTACCAGAAAAATTAAATAGGGAAAGGCTCCTGAGGCAAAACTGTGCTGATCAGATAGAAGTTGTTCATAGAGCTAATGCTATCGCAAGCCTTTTTGCTTGGACTGGAGCACAAGCTATGTATCAAGGTAAAATGATGGCATTGTTGGAAGATACCGCACGTTTAAAAAATTTAGTAGTTCATTTCCTTGGTTGAGTCTTAACATTTCGAAAACTTGCATTACCACAAAGCATATTTGTTTTAAAACCCCTAATTAAATATTTTACATATGCAGTTGTCAAATGGCACTTGGGTAGTGACGTGATCTGTTATGTTGACCACTTTGTGTGACTGTATTTTTTCTGATGGTGTTGTCGAGCATTTCAAAGACTATAGAGCCCACTAGTCAGCTCTGTAGATGACAGCAGCTTTCTGAAGCTAGGGAAGGAAATGCTGTGGTGGATTAAGTGTTAGGTTAAGTCCTAGCTATTCTTTATCGTTTATTTGAAGGCCATATCTAGGATGTGGATTAGGGGATTGTTCATTCAGTAAATAGAGAATGTTTTTTATGTATCAAGCACTGTTGGCCTTGGGGATAAAGTACTGGATATGACAGGCAAATCTTACTCTTCTGGAGCTTACAGTGAGGAGAATAAAGGAGAATAAACAGGTAAGGTTTTTAGGTAGTGGTAATACTGCAAAGAACATTACTAGATAGATAAGGGCTAGAACGATTTATGAGGCACAGGTTTAAATGAGATGTTGGGCAGAATCTCTGTAAACATAATAATTCAGAGGAGGACTTGAGAAGAATGAACAGAAACTGAATGGTGAGGGGCTGCTGCCCAAGTGTAAGCTCTGGGAAAGACACTTTGAGGCAGACAGAATGGCAAGTCATATCGGAGGCGGAACAGACTCGAGGTGTTTGAGGACCATGAAGGCTGATGAAGAGAGGAGGAGCCAGAGGCCATTTCACATAGGACTTCTAGAGCCCGTTTGAGGCATTTGGATTTCATTTTAAAACCTGAAGTGATATAATATATAACGAGTTTAATCCTATATTAGTACCCAGGAGGAATTTTAATACAGATTTCATTATTGCCAAGCCCACCTTTTTCCTTTTGTATATATTTTAACCTTATATTCACAATTGTTGACTTGTGTTTCTATATTAGAAACGGGAGAGGAATTTATGTTGAAGATCTGTTTATTCATGAAAGATAAGTACTTTTTGCAGTATAATTCCATATTTTAGCAACATTAGTTATTGACCATCTCATTGCAGCTGGTATAAAATAAGTGTGGGGAAATAGCTGTGCCTGGTCCTGGCATTAGGGTTTTAAAGTATTAAAGCCAGTCAGCCTGGATAAGAAGCAGTTGGAAAATTGAGTAGTTCAGTTTAAGACAGCCTGGCTCCTTATCACATAAGACTCACTAAGTGAAATGACAGCAACTCATAAAACCAATTTTGAGATACATAAAGGAAGACACAGAATTTGTATGAGGACCTGGTTGAAGTCCTTAGAAAGGTGGTTTTTTTTAAGGTATTTTTTTTTTGGAGATGTGGTGAAATAAATGGCCTTCATGGTTATTGGATGATAGATGTTACTGGTATGGTGAGCAATGATGTAGTTAATACCAGATGCAGGGAGATCTGCATAGATACAGAGCTGCTCTTACAAGAAGTGAATTAAGGTTGAAAGCAGTTGAAGACAGAAATTGTTGAAAAGATGTATCGTGAGTTAGGGATACTAGATGTGATGAAATAATTTTTGATGAGATCTTTAGGGAATTGGCAGGTAAAATATCTAGGTTTTAGCAGATATTCAATACCCCTCTAATACATATATTTTGTTTGGGCTAAATATATGTTAGTGTAAATTTCAGTATAACTTTCTTCTCTAGGATTCTGGAGCGAAGCAGATGTCACTCGACCTTTTGTCTCTCAGGCCGTGATCACAGATGGAAGATACTTTTCTTTTTTCTGCTACCAGTTAAATACTTTGGCACTGACTGCACAAGCTGATCAGAATAACAGTCGTAAAAATATATGTTGGGGGACGCAAAGTAAGCCTCTTTATGAAACAATAGAAGATAATGATGTGAAAGGTTTTAACGATGATGTTCTACTACAGATAGTTCACTTTCTATTGAACAGACCAAAAGAAGACAAATCACCGCTGTTGGAAAAATAAGAAGAAACATTTGACTCAGGACTTTGGGAACCCTTACATTTTACTAAAGCAACAATAAAAAGAATTTTAATGACAAGACTTGTGTCTGCCACATATTAAATGCACTGATTTTGAGACAAGCATTTCTTATGTTAACCTGTGATTAACATAATCCTCTCATTCTGCTCAAAACACATGGTGGAAAGATTTAATTTTAGATATAGTATGTTGATGTAAAAGTAACTTTATATATGACTAAGTGATGAGATTGATTAAGCTTTCTTCAATCCTGGTATTGCAAGTGATTATAAAGGTAATATAAGGTTACTAATTCAAATGCTTATGAATATATAAATATTTTGTTAATACTTTTCCTTTTTAAAATGTTTTTGTTAACATGCTAGTAGAATTTTCAGAGTCCTATTCAAACTCCTTTAAAACATACACATTATTTTGCAAATATAGGAAACTCAGTCCCAGGGAAGTTGAGTGACCTTTCTAAAATTAACATGATTAATAGCATAATGGATGAATTATATGCAATTAAGTGCTAGTACTTACCAGTAATGTTCACATATTTCAGTTAGTGTTATTTGCTCTAAGATTAGGACTATGTCTGCTATGTTCCCAAATCAGTTGTCAGTTGTTAATCTCACTGAGAATTAAGGTTAATTCAAAACATTTTTAGTGAGCAAAAAAAAAAAAAAATCATGCTTATACTTCTCACTTTATATAACCTGCTACTGTGAATATTTAAAATACCCCATTTAGCCCTAACGGGTTTGGCTCAGCGGATAGACCGTCGGCCTGTGGACCCAAGGGTCCCAGGTTCGATTCCAGTCAAGGGCATGTACCTTGGTTGCGGGCACATCCCCAGTAGGGGGTGTGCAAGAGGCAGCTGATTGATGTTTCTCTCTCATCGATGTTTCTAACTCTCTATCCCTCTCTCTTCCTCTCTGTAAAAAATCAATAAAATATATTAAAATATAAAAAAAATAAAATACCCCATTTAGTACTCTAGTCACATGACAAATAATTATTGGTTTTCCTTCCTCCTCTCCCTTTCTCAGTCCCTCCCTCGCTCTCTTTCTTTCAAGACAAAGGTCACAGTTACATTGATTGAAGCCTCAGTTAGAAGCTTAGGAACAATTGTCACAAGTGATTGCTGAACTGAAGGGAACAGTATTTGAGAGTTTTCTCTGCAAGGTATGCTGTGTTCCATCTTTAACCCACTACTTCATTTACCCAGGGTGCTTTGTAATGTACTTCATTCTTTTACTTAAGTTGTTTCCAAAGCTTGGACTACTGTTCTCTACCCTTTGTCCTGTCTGTTCCAACCTGCCTGTTACATTCCGTTAGTCCTTGATGGAAAAAATGATGCATAGAGCGCAACCTTACCAAGTTCCAAGTAAAATGATATCTCATAATCTTGGCGATCACTTTCTAACTTATTGAACTTTGAGCAGTTCGAGTTACTAGCCTTGATTTTGGCTTTCATAAAACAAAATAATCTCATAAAGTTGTAAGGATTAAATGAGCTAGTACACATGAAAGTGCTTTTAAAATGCTACATAATTAAAATATTTGGGATTCATTTCAAATGTCATTGCTGTCCCTAAGCTGATTATATTTAACTCATCAATTAAATTTACATGGATCATACAGAAAATGATAAACTTTCTAAGACATCTCCCATAAGGGTCCAGAGCAATACAGTTAATCCATGAATTCTTGAAAATTTCCATGAAACAAACCTAAAGTTTGGAATGCTTCCCAACTCATTTTATAAACTCGTTTAAATTATTTAATCACAAAAAACAATGGGTTAAATATACATTTCAATATAAAATGCAGAAATCCCAAATAAAGTGATAATATGCCAAAATTCAATAGTAATGAAAATTACCTTAATAGGGTAGAGTTACTAATAGTCATGGAAATTCAGTAATGGATTGGTATTATATAATAGTTTGTACATAAGTCTGAGGTTTAATATGTAGCTTGTGAGTTTGATCTTTTGCATTTTTAAAAGGTTACAGTTAGAAGATAATTTGATTTGTTGTTTAAAACATGTAAAGGAGCTGCCATTGGATTTAAAATGCAAGTGAATCATTCTTTAGAAATGAATTGAGTTGATGGGAAATCCAAGTTGATAAATTCAAATAAGACCTCATTTTTTTTTTTTACTTTTTTAATTTTTGAACAAAAGAAATGAAGTTTTACCTTAGTGCTTGCTTAGTGATATATAGACTTAATCAGCAAAAATTCATACATCAGCCAGTTTAGGAAAACTGAAAACAGAAGAAAGTAACCATCCTTAAAATAAATAAATCAGTGTGTAATGATTATAAATTTGATGCTTTAATGTTTTAATTGAAACATGAATCCTCAATATTTTTTAATGAAAATTGTGTTGATATAAACATATTCACAAATCTAGCATCTTCTGGCTGTGATACATATATGTAAATGGGAATCACTCATTTTGCTACGGACTTATGACCTTATTCACATTATTCAGATGTGTAATGTAGCAATATGTATCCCAAATAGCTGTATAAACGAGCAAGCTGTACTTTGATTATCATTGTAATTCTAGGTCTGAATGACAAAAACCGTCCTGAAAGCTCCTGTGATGTTTAGCCACTTGAAGAGTATTTCTTTGGATCATCGGTACAGGTGAAACTTTTATTTGTAAATTAAATATATTTATGCTGTAAGCACTTTGTTAGGATCTTCAACAGACTTTCAACAAGTTTTCTCTTGCTCGTGAATAGCACTGATAATGAAGGTGTTGGGATTACCAGTCGAGCTGGAAGGGGCATTGGGGTCAGTTAGTGTAGCAACTGATCTTTGCTTATGCCTTTCATCTGACCCCACCCAGTGTGGGTTTTTGTTTTAATTGTTAACATGAAAAGAGAGACTATAAAACATCCACATTTCAGATTCTTTTGAAAAATTGTAAGATCTGGTGACTCCAGGTTTACATGCTTGCAGGTTAACATGGACAGGAACTGGAAATTGTACTGGGTCCCTACAGTTTTTCACAGTCCTCTCACTTCTAATTTCTCTTCACTTGGTGAACATCGTCGGGCATACTGCACTAATTTCTGTTAAATGTTCTATTCTGAGGCCTTGAGTTTATGACACCAGCTTGGTCCAGCTTGTGGTTAAGAACTTGTAATCCTGGTGGCAAAACTCAACCTTTACAATTACTTTTTGGGCTTTAGAAATCTGTTTTCCAACAACAAATATAGTAATGATAAATTCAGAAGAGTTCACTTTCATTTGTGATAATTAAACCAGATGAGACTTGGCTTTGGGGCTGGAGGATGAGATATAAAGTTATCTGGCAAAATAATGAATGTCTGCTTCCTTCCTCTTCGGCTGCATAAAGGGCAAAATGAATCCTGACTCTTGTTTTGATAGTTTACTTAAGAGGCTGGGAGGAATTTTGTCCATTTTTATAGAACTAAAATTGGCAACCAGAGAATATTTGGAACTATACTGGGTATTTAGGTCCTACCCTGAGTCAGATTGTCTCCAGCACCACACTCCCCAGCTGTGGAAGAAGTCAGGATGCTCTTACAGATTGTACCCTCTTACAAGTTGAGCCCATCAGACTTAAGAAGGGGCCCTAATGGTGATTCAAAACCAGACTGGCCAAAAAGCTACAAGGCACCTTTAAAAACAAAAGCAAACAAACAAAGGGGGGGGGGGACTTTTGACCTTTTCCTTAAATGATGGTCTAGATGCCATATTTGGAAATATCAACTTGGAGGCATTAGAGAGCTAACAAGATAGTGACTAATTGGCAGACTGATATCTGAAAGAAAAGACAAATCCAGAACAGTGAGCCTAGTGTTGGGCCTGCTTTTGCTCTAAAGGGGGGTTCTGTTAACTAAGAGAGGAGGCTGAGAGAATCTGGCATTGAACAGCCTTGTGAGAATACAGGACCACCTAGGGAGGACGAAGTTGAGAATATAGGACCACCAAGGCTGGGACTCTGGTAGAACAACTTGGTTTGAGACCCTGAAGGACTACATCCTTGGGCTAAGGGTGAACCAAAGTAAACCATTCACAAAGATTATAGCTTAGACTTGAGTCAGCCAGATAGCGCAGAAAAATGTGAAATTTTCAATGTGGATTAATGTGCATCAGGGATCTGAAAGGTGCAAATCTTGAAAAAGAATGTTTTTCTAGGCCTCATTATTTCTACAAACAGCTTTTCTAATACAATATCTTCCTATAATAACAGAACAAGAGGAGAAAGAAAGCAAGCATGAAAACTGGCAGAAACAATACAATAGAAACACCCAAAATGGCACCAAATATTTGGATTGTGAGACAGATTTTATTTAATGTATATTATATTCAAGGAGATAAAGAATGTTGAGAATTTCAGCATAGTATTGGAAAGTAAACAATGGAAGTAGTGTGGAGAGAAGATAAAGAAGTATATTCATTGAATGTAGGAGCTTAGAAATAAGGAAATTTTGGAAAAGAAACAAAGGATCAAACTAGGTATTAGGAATTCCCTTTGTTCTTGTACCAGAGGTCATGGATACCAATCTGTAGCAGTCTTTGTACAAAGCTCTATATCATTTGTTGGGTAGTTGATATTTTCAATGTTGATTACTAACATTATTCCAGAGAATAATCAGTGGAAATGTGTGTCTATAGACTAATAGCTAGTGCATGTTATTTTATCTTGCATATTTTC